GTACACCAAGTTTTGATATGATCAGAAATGAAATAAGTAAAGTTTACAATATCGAGAGAACACATGCCATCTCTTCTTGTAATTTTACTTAATTTGTTGGATTTTGGTCTGATTGTCACCAATTGTTTGATTGATACTAATGTACAACCGACCCATTTTCCTACAGTGTCATTTGTTATAATATGCTTGCCAAACTCTGTATACAGACACATGTCTATATTTGACTGTTATTTTGATGTCATGGTTTTGTACCAAAGAAGAAAGTTTAGAATTTAAAATAACACCAAGATATTTGTAATGGTCCACTCTTTCAATTTCTGCATTATCAATAATAAGAGGATGTAGAGGTTCCTTATTTCTCCAAAAATCAACCACCAATTCCTTAGTTTTCTTTACATTCAGAAATAGAAAATTGTCTTTGCCTTGACGATAATTATGTTCAGAATCAGAAATTAGGCCAGTAACAGTGGTGTAATCTGCAAATTTCACAGTAAACACGTCATTTAATAACAAGCAACAGTCACTGGTATACAAAATCAAGAGTAAGGGTGAAAGAACACAGCCATGTGGAGCTCCAGTAGAGGTTGAGAGAAAAGAAGATTGATAGCCATTGACACGGACATATTGAGTTCTATGTACCATGAACTCTTAAACCCATTTGATAATGTTGCTATTAATGCCTAGATTAAACAGTTTACTAACCATAAGGTGTGGTTGGATGGTATTGAAGGCGGAAGAAAAATCAATAAAAAGGATTCTTACATAGTTGTTACAAGTCTCCAGATGAGTGGATACAGAGGAATTGTAACCAGAGGAAGTGCTGGACACATGGGTTGATAGGTATATGCAGCGTTTAAAAATCCCGCCTGCCTGACCGTCCCGGAACGGTCTATTTTCATCTCAGACGATCAAATTTCAAAAGTAGCCTGTCCGGTGGTCTGGTAGATATTTTGACCCCTAACAGTAAATATTTCATAATATCAGACAGGTTCACTTGTCGTCAGTTTGTGGTGTTTACGGTATTATGATGATTATGTTAAACTACAGCGTGTCGCCATATTATTATGTACAATTGTAACAGTGTTGATATCGTGTATAGCAATGCCCTTTTTCAAACTACTGTTACTCAAAAACGACACTGCGTATCGTCGTAATATCTTGTCACATGCTCGACCATGATGTCACGTGTCTGTCACAAGGCTCTATTTTTAATCCACTTGTTGTCTGCTAAATATTCTGGCTATTTCCAGCAACAATGGGGGAAATCGGCTGATTTGTTGGAGTCACTTATGAAATTAATTGTAAAAAAAGTTTCAAAGTGACGAAAAATGTTCTCACATTGCAAGATTCTTTGGAATGCCTCATAGCAGTGTATATTCGGTGGTAAAGCGGTTTGATCAACATGGATAAGTCGAGAATGCTCTCAGAACAGGCTGTATGAGGAAACTGACTCTTCGGGACAATCAACAACTTTTGAGGTTGGTCAGAGACAATAGGATTTCACCTTTGGGTGAAATAACTGAGAATTTGAACAACAATAGGGCTACACGTGTATCAGTGAGGACTGTAAGGAGACGATTATATGAAAATAAATTTCACAGATGTCTTGTTAGAAAGAAAATCCGAATTCGTGACTATAACGTCAGAAATCGTTTGGCCTGGGCATGGGGGCAACGATATCGTACAGTGAATAATTACTGGAATCGAGTAATCTTCTCTGACGAGTGTAAAATTATCATTGGGGAAAACAATCATGTTTTTGTTTGGAGACAGCCCGGTGAAGAATACCTCCAGCAATGTCTTTGTCCGGGACAACCATGCGTCAGTTTGATGGTGTGGGGTTGTATCACCTGGCATGGTGTTGGTACCATTTGTGTTGTTAATGGCAACATACATGCTCAGAAATACACAGAAATCCTTGTTGATATGCTTTGGCTCGTTATAGCCAGACATGTTTCGGGAAAACGCTTCATCTTCCAAGATGACAATGCCCCTGTACATCAGGCCCGTGTCGTTCAAGATTACAAGCGACAAAATGACATTACTGGAATGTTGTGGCCTGCACAGACTCCAGACGCAAATATTGAGAACTGTTGACTCTACCTGAAGAACAGACTGCAGGGACGCCGAAGAAACATTCAGTCGGCTGCCGACTTGGAATAGAAGTGTGGGACATCTGGGAAAATATTCCCCTCGATTTCATCAGAAATCTTTATCGATTCCAAGGAGGATGTTGAAAATAATAAGGTACAAGGTACACATCACAAAATATTGAGGAAAGACTGTATATATTCAATGAGTTACGACACTTTGAACTCCTGCGTAAATGTGTTGTCAACAATCGGTCCGCCATGTTTGTACGTAATAATATGGCCACCCGCTGTACTTATGATTGGACAGTTCATGCTACGATAACCATTCACAACACGTGTACTTTCAGTTTACCTAAACTCGGTGCATTGCCTGTTAGTGCTATGTAGTTCATTGAGATGTCTACAAACAGTAACCTGACTAACCTGATTTTGTTTGTTTCTTATTGTTGAAAACCGGACAGGCAAGTTGGTATCTGGACTGGTAATTTTTTTTAGGTTACCAGTCCGGCTGTCTAGTTATGTAGATAAGTGGATGAGTATCCTGAAGGACACTCAAGCCTCTAGGTCATACAGATTAATGGTTTCTGGTGTTAAAAATTAAAACACATCTACCAGAGGTAAAGCGAGATGTATTTGGAATCATTGGGAGGCTTGGAATCTCTAGTTTTCCCAAACCATTGTTACCAGTCATGAATGTATCGGCCAACATGTCATTTGGGTGTGTTTTCATGGTAACCAGGCTGCCACTAATTGCCTGAACTACCTCACCTTGTCCAACTTGTAGGGCTGGATATTGCCCTGGGGCTCCTTTCACGAAGCAACCTTTACTAAGGTTAACCTTAACTCCTATTCTTTAACATTGCACTAAGGTTACCTTAGTGACTCACGATCACCTTAGTGCTTTGTGAAAGGAGGCTCTGATTCTCATATTGCGATTTATTGCAATAATTCAAGAGATAATGCAATACATATTGTGATATATTGACTGGAAGGTTTCTGTCCAAGTGCGTACATCATAAATTCATAATAGCTCTATGTGTGCGACATCGTCTTCTTAGTTGCTGTTACACCATATTTTCAGGCTCCCTGTCCACATACGTGTGGGTGTATGCCAGTGGTGTACAGATAAATGATATAGAGCCTAAATGTGGAATGTTTCATTGAAGTAACTGTATTGCAACAAAGATTTGCAAACATAATGATAAAGGTAATGGTATAACATGGTTTTCATGGTCAGTGTTGTTTGCTTAAACAGAATGCACTTCAATGCAGTGTGTAATTATTGTTACTGTTTGTCAGTGATTCATTCAGATTCAACTCCAATATAAACATGTGTTAACATGAACTGTTGTAAAATGAAGCAAAAACATGATTTAGGTGAACTACTTGAGCTTAAAATCTCATGTGACCTCCAATAACTAAGATCCGTGACTAGTATGTCATTATACAGTCCTATAAAATTTATAAGACTTTGGCCTTTATCGTAAATTGATAACATATGTCCCATTATGAACCCCCCCCAAAAATAACAAAATAATGTGAATTGTGAAATGGTCACTCAGAGCCAACAGCTCTACTTATAAGTCCAAATAAAAGATTGGTCAAATCTTTGAAGGGCAATTAGAAGTGGAATGCATAAGAAAAGCAAAACTTATGGATGTCAACTTCTTTATTGTGAATATTCATGACCTGATGAAGGAGCGAGTTTACACTCCAAAACGTTGTGTTATTCACAACAAGAAGTTGATATCCATTACTCTTGCTTTTCTTAAAAGATTGCTCCATTTGAGGCCACTTAATTCCTCCAAAACGTCACATATGAAACCATTCAAACCCCAAAACTGAAAACATTTGGTAGAATATTTGGCACTTTTGGAGCCACTTATAAAGACACTTCCACTTGTACAATGTTACATGAAACAGAAAAGAAACAAAAGTATATTTGGCACTTTTAGAGCACATTTTGTTGCTATGGAAATCAAGGGCAGATAATTCAAAGGGAGCTAACTCTGGATGACACAATATATTGCAGAATCTGAACCATATCACGATAATCGTATTGCGAGATACAATACCGGTATATACCGGTTTACCGATAATATTGCACAGCCCTACCAACTTGGACTAAGAATTGAAGAGGTACCAAGAGTTCTTGAAGAATAAACACAAACAAGAACATTGAGGACTGACTGAGTTTGGTTTTACGCCGCATTTAGCAATATTCCAGCAATATCACGGCGGGGGACACCAGAAATGGGCTTCACACACTGTACCCATGTGGGGATTCGAACCCGGGTCTTCGGCATGACGAGCCAACGCTTTAACCACTAGGCTACCCCACTGCTCGAACATTGAGGAAAACACAGGTTGACAAGCAGAAATGTGAAGACATGTGACATCATGGTCATGTGAGCTGTGAGTTAGTCTGCCTCACAACTGTTTGGAGCAATGTCTTACTTCAGCTGGACCTTCTCACAGCATTGTTCTTTCTTTCGAAATTCAAGCAGTAAATGCATTAATGAGTAATGCAGGAAATGTTAAACAAATACAACATTGTGATTTACATAATAAAGTTGTGTAAATTATTGCAAAACAATTCCCAAACTATACTGCCTTTTGTTCAAATTTGATATCCTTAAATTGCCATCTTCTGAATTTGACCACCAGCTGCCATAATGTGCTTATATGTACCAACATTCATCTTGCACTTGCAGATACAGGACTTCACTTACAGCACCTGTCTAGCAAAGAAGTTTAAGTTATATTTCCAGCACATATGTCAACACATATTTGTACTCATCATGTTGTTAGGTTTATGCTTCTTCATGTTCATGTGTTTTCCTCAGTTCTAATTACAAGGTGTGACAAATAGTAATTGTACATATAATGACAAAATATTTCACCAACCTGTCTGATGGTGTGATCAGTGGCATTACACCAGTAGTCCATATTCGACATCTGTTGGTATGAAAATGGTTCTATTGACATCAGTTGTGTCATTGGGTCATATATGATCATCATCTGCAAACATACATTAAAAGTAATTAATTACAAAATAATGTATGATTCCATCATTTGTCCAGGAAAAAAATATGGCATTATATCCAGGGTGGCATTATAACCAGGTAGGACAGTTAGAGGCCCTATTCAATCAACAAGGTAACTGAGCTGATGACTCCTGTAATGAACCCTTGAATGGATAATTCCAGCATCTAGGGGCTGCCCATGATATTAAAGAGAAGTAATTTGTGAATCCGATTCTGCTCCATGATACCCTTTCATAATTCACCCTGTAACTGTAGGGAGTATTACCTTCCACCCTTGAATCCGACTTTTGTATCTGATGCCATGTGAGCCGTACAACATGTGCTCGTGAGTGAGTATATATAGAGGATGTGTGTGACACCTTGATGCCATATGAAGCGGTATTTGATACCTGAACCTATGAATTAAACTTATGAAACCAGAACCAGCATTTACTATTTTTCATGGTCCCGCGAACAGGATAGCTGGATATTTTGAACTTTGTGAAATATTGGACTTATGGTCAGTAAAAGAGAGAGAAAGGTAGAGACGGCCACCAACCTATCTTCAGGACTATGTGTGTGAGACTTTGCCTATCCCTAAGTAGTATATACAATGATTGTCCGAGATCAATTCCAAGAAAGGTCGCTGTAAAGCTTTATTTCATAAATAAAGCTTTTGTCAGGCCCTTAGACCTCGCCGCCATTGTATATACTACTTTTGAATCCCCAGTTAACTTCCCGGCCACACTTGACACTATTGTGTCACTATGACCGCGAACTAGCACTTTCCTGATCATGTGATAGCTCTATGTCGTGTTGACAGGATACCATTAAGATTACCCGACAAGGTAAGTGTTAAATATTTTGCTTGGGGGGTAACATTGTGCTGTACGGTATGGCTAATAATTCCTCTCTAACGAAACCTCTCCCTGGCCCATCTCTCAAGTAGTACAAGTTCGGCTCGTCAGCTTTGATGTCCACTTTATCTATGTTGTAAGTTTTGACTGACCATATCGGATCGGTGGCTCGTTTCCGAGTGTCCCCTTCGTGTTCCCCCGGCTGGTAGAGGTACCTCACGAGGGCCCTATCGGGTATCTGTTTCTCCTTCCCACGCGATGGTGCAGCCGACTCAGCCACCACTGATTTCAGTTTGATAACTCGGCTGGTTTCTTGCCGGTGAGCCGAGTGGTTTTGTGGTTGATAGCCGACACCACTTGAGGTAGCCGCGCTACCTATTCCGTCGATCGTTTTCCCGGGTTGGCCATCTCTCTTGCATACTGATGCCCGAATAAGCGTTCGACCAAAGTCCTATTGAATCTCTCAACTATGGCTTGACTGCGATGAGCCCCGGCAGCGCCACGCCTGACCTGGACGCCGTGCTTGGCTAGCAGTTGTGACATGGCACCCATGAACTCCCGTCCGGGATCGACTTGCAGTTCGGTGGGCCATGTCAGCGGACTGCGTTTGTACATGCGTTCGAATCCGCGGGCTACCTGGGCCGAGTCTTTCGCGGTTAAGGGTTCAGCTTCTTTGTAGCGGCTAGCCACGTCCACGACGGTTAAGGCATACTTGTACCTCTTGTTGTGGGGTAGGAACAGGAGGTCGGCCTGGTGGACGCTATTGGGTATGTTAATGCTGAACTTTCTTCGGGGCACGTAGCGTGGTGCCGGTAAATAGATCTGCCACAGGGCTTGTTTTTCAAGCCACGCTTTGGCCTCATCCGGGGGTACTCGCGCCATTTTGGCCAGCTTATGTGCGGCGCTAGCTCCTTTCCAGTACCCACGCGGGCTGTAGTAAATAGCCTCAAACTTTCTTTGGTTCCGTGACATCGTTGTCGCCCGACAGGGTATTTATATATACACCTATGTTCTTGGTTCAATTTTTTCTCATGCCCGATGCACGCGCGCGTGTTGATCCCGTCGATGGCTATCCAACGCCGTGTCCATCGGTGATAGGGGCGTCTTGTTTATCGTCAGTCCGATATCCTGTGCCCGTCGCTTCTAAAGCGTGTTCATTTGATGCCTGAAGGTGCGGGTCTTGAACAGGGCTTCCTTGAATCTGGCGTGTTTGATGTGTTGTTTCACCACGTACTTCTTGACCCCTTCGCCTTCGGATCTCACCATTGTCAGCCTTCAGGATGGAGTACATCTTAGGTCTCAAGCCTATGTACTCAGCTATGGGCGTGCCGGCACACTCGTCCTTCATCTTGCCGAGCACTTTTTATTTACTGTGCTGTGTATGGCATGGTCCTTGGGGTAGTCACTGGTGTCGTTAAAATCGCGCGTTTCTTCATGTCCTCGCATTACCGTCCTCGGTTCGAATCTCCATCAGCAGGGAATCAGTGTTCCGTGTACAGCACTTCACACCTGGGCCGTACTGTTTCTTGAGCTCGTTGTAGTAAAAGTCGTACATCAGGTGTTTGGATAAATCGAGGATGCTCATCCCCACGTAAACAGGCCGGTTGAATTTGATGTGGCTCTTCTTCATGTGTAGGGCCACCAGGTCGTCGGTGAATATCTTGCTCCGGTTGAATGCCTGGCTGGCTATCAGTTTCCTGAGCTTGTCTTCCTCTTTCGACCGAACCAGCTTCACAGTCACGCGTTTCCTCAGGTTCTCCATTCTCTTACCGAACACCGAATTGTTCATGAGCTTGTAGAGGTTTTTTTCAAAGTCACTGGTGGCCAGCTTTCGCAGGTCCGTGTTCATTCTGATGTAGGGCTCCATCCAGGGGCTCTGGTCGAACATGAGCACCCTGTGTATTTTGGTCAGCCTCATACCCAATGACAGGTACAGCTGTAGGTTGTGATAGTGAACGATGTACTTGGTCTTATTCATTAAGTTGGGCACGAGTTTTTCAACCCACCCGCCCACCCAGCAAGTTATGTTGGTACTCGGACATCCAGTCTGGGTTAACCCTCAAACGTTCGGGGACCAGGGGGTAGCTGTTGTGCGATGTATTCCAAGTCCACTTCGAGGATATAGCCTTTGTTCGAATCCGGCGCGATGCTCATAACATCGATCTCGGGTGATGCCCATTCGAATCCCCCTGTGGGTAGATACTGGCTCATGGCCCAGCCGTACAGGTTGTTGGCATCGAGGTAGAGGATGTGAGTGGTTGGCTTGCTAGAGTCGTAGCCCTTCACGTATTGATTATTGGCTTTTGCGTAGCGTTTGGCAGCCATGGAGATCCCGCCTCGCAATCCTTTCTCAATGAACAAGTGCATGTCGTAATCGGTGAGCAATTCCAGCTTAACTCCGGTTTTCTTCAGCAAGGCATCCCAAGATAGACCTGGGCTGGTGTAGTACCATGCGGGGTCGAGTTGATACTGCTTAAAACATGTCCTCCTAAACGTCTCGAACACGTCGGCTAGCAGGAGTACGTCTGTTCTCAAGTTCAGGTCGTGGTAGTCACCCAGATTCTTACAGCCCAGTTTATTCCATACGTTAATCACGTGCGAGTAATCGTCTTGGGTGATTGTCGAGTCGGTCAGGTTGCTGTAAAATCGGCCGATGGGAGGCAGTCGGGTCTCAGCGAATTTGGCCCAGCCATCCATGTACCGTACCCTCTCAAGTTGTGGAAGACCACGAGGATGTTTATTGTCTTGGGGTTGATTCTGAGCTTGAGGTTGCACGCGTTGTGAACGGCGCCTCTATACTTACCGGTGACATGGCAGTGATCTCTCACCGAATCGCCGTTCAGCGGTTTATCACACACATGACAGTGAGTGCTGCAGCCGTGAGCTAGTCGGTCGGCTTGAGTCATACGCATGGGAGCGACTGTGTACAGTGCATTCCTGATAGTTTTCTCTTCCTCCTGCAAACACTTTAGAAACTTTTCAGCCGCGTTGGGACCCTTGTACACTACGGGAGCTTTCGTTTCCCCATCACATCGGACGACCACATATTCAAACCCACAGGCCTCGTGCTCCTGTGTTTTTTGAGTGGCCCTGCCGGCGGCAGCCTCAACGGGTTTGACCAAGGCTTCGAAGTCGGCGTAGATGATGTAAGGTACAGGCATCTGGTTCTTGTGGTTGTCGAATTTTAGGATATTGTCACCGGTGAGTACAGAGGTGCAGCCCACAACGCGTGCAACCTCAAGCTCAAAATCAACCCCAAAACAATCAACATCCCCGTGGTCTTCCACAACTTGAGAGGGTATGACTCTCACTTGATCATGCAGGCCATCGCGAAAGTCGACGGCAACCTGACGTGCATCCCCAACAACATGGAGAGATACATCTCCTTCTCCCTGAACGGCCTGAGGTTCATCGACTCAGTTCAGTTCCTGCTGTCGTATCTCGACAGTTTGGTCAAGGCCAACGATACCTTCCACATCACCCATCGATACACCGACGCCGAGACTCGACCCCTGCTGATGAGGAAGGGCGCGTACGAGTACATGGACAGCTGGTCCAAGTTTGACGAGACACTACTGCCTCCCATCGACCGATTTTACAGCAACTTGACCGACTCGACCATCACCCAGGACGATTACGACCACGCCCAGAAAGTGTGGGAGAAACTGGGCTGCTGGAACCTGGGTGATTACCACAACCTGTACTTGAGCACGGACGTACTCCTGCTGGCTGACGTGTTCGAGACGTTCAGGAGGATGTGTTTTAAGCAGTATCAACTCGATCCCGCGTGGTACTACACCAGCCCCGGTCTCTCTTGGGATGCACTGCTGAAAAAGACTGGAGTCAAACTCAAACTCCTCACCGATTACGACATGCACCTGTTCATCGAGAAAGGATTACGAGGCAGGATTTCCATGGCCTCCAAACACTACACAAAAGCCAAAGAGTACGTAAAGGGCTACGACTCTAGCAAGCTCACCACCCACATCCTCTACCTTGATGCCAACAACCTGTACGGCTGGGCCATGAGCCAGTATCTACCTACCGGGGGGTTCGAGTGGGTGCCCGAGATAGACGTCATGAGCATACCACCAGATTCGGGGAAGGGTTACATCCTCGAAGCTGCACACAGCGGCTA